CCAGTACGTCCTGAGCGAACCAAGCAAACTCGAAGACTGGGAGGCTAGTCATCGTGGATCACCTCACAGCGCTACTACAATCGGAAGCATTGTGGATGCAGGGAATGGGACTTATTTTGCATTTGTGCGGCCAAAAATTTCTGGGGTTCATGAACTTGCTGTGACCATACATGACCTTCATATCAAAGGGTCGCCTTTCCTGCACGTGGTAGAATCAAACGCCGCGGTGGCGTATGCTAGCAGTGCAGATTGGGGCCCAGGACTTGAAACGGCGACAGTAAATGTAGCCACGAACTTCACTGCGACTGCCCGTGATGCGTACGGGAATTCCGTTTTGGGGGAAGACGAATACATTTCTTGTGGGATAATCTCTGATACAAATGGCTCGTGCAGCAACTCGTTTGGAAACGGCTCTACAATTTGTACGTACACTCCACTTAAGAGCGGTCAAGCTGAACTCGAGGTAAGGTACAGGGGTGCTCATGTCATGGGTTCCCCATTCAGAGTGCACATAAGCGATGGTGCCGTTGCTGGTAACACCACACGGGCATTTGGTCCCGGGCTCTCGTTTGCAATCGCAGGCCAGCTTACTAATTTTTCCGTAGCCGCAAGTGATACAGGGAACAACAGAATCGACGATGTTGGCCTTTCCCGGGTCTCCAACTTCAGCGCAGTCTTAACGCACAGGGTGCAGACTTCTCAAACAGTGACTGCCCTTGTACACGCCATGGGAAATGGAATCTACTCGTTCGCATACAATGCCACTCTTGCTGGCGAGTATGATCTGGTGGTATTTGACGAGGCTTTCACGACAGATATCTCCCATACCAGGGGAACTTGCGTCTCATTCTTCATGAGCCCAAACAACCTACATTCCTATCAGGTGTCGCAAGAAAACGTCGCGCAAAGCCCTTTTTCCTTGTGCCTCCCTTCAATTACTGCAGCGTGACTATCTTCCAAGCAGTGCTTAAGCGTGGTCTCGTTAGGCGTGTCTTACCAGGGGCCATCGATGCATCACAATCATCGCCGGTGGGCAAAGGTGTGGAAATGTATGTAGTTGCATGTGCCCGTGCCCCTGTCGTTGTCCACCCGCGGGACAGGTGGGGCAACCCACACACCGACCAATCGGAAGAACAATTTTATGCAGTCATTGTGGGCGGTGGCGCCCCCAACGGCTCGACTGGGGTCCGCTACGAAACAATCGAGGTATGCTCGTCCCCAATCCCACTGATACCAAGATTAGCGTTGGTGCATTGCGGCTGCTTTTTGTAGGTGGTCGGGAGATACATCGGAGGCAATTCTCACGATGTGTCTTATTTCCCTAGCCTGGCTGGACCGCACAAATTGCACGTTTTCTCCCTCGGATTCGGAATCGATATCAAACTGTATGGCAAATTTGATCTTGTCCAACCATTCTTAACGGCCCAAACCACCACAATCGAATTGGATTGGGGCATGCCTGGAGTTCTTCGGGAAATTCAGTTGAGCAACAATATGCCTCAACCACTGGGAAATTCTTCACATTTATTTGGGATTGTCCCCACGGAATATTTCTTCGCCCATATCAGCGGACAGATGCAGTTTCCAAGCACAGAAGACTTCATTCTGCATGTCGATGCCGACCCCGGCGCCTCAGTCGTCCTAAAGATCGACGGGGTAGTTGTGTGTGGCAGCCAGTATGTACAAGCCCAATCTTATTTCTCAAATGGCAATTCTACTCATTTTGGGCATATTGTTTTTGAAGCACACGGCATACCGCGTCCGAAACTTGACTGTCGAGCGAGCCTGGGCTGGGTTGAGGTGGGGTGTCGCGCTATCGACCTACGCCCCGTATATTTATAGGAAGGTGCATTCTCCCCAAACGCCCCTGATCTCCTCCACGTGTATGAGTTGACTTACTTTCACAAACGCGGAGCTGATGCCTTCCTCCGGTTGAGTTGGGCACGAACATCAGAATCACAACCCACAATGATCCCAGCGCGGGCATTTTTCAGGGCGTCCGCACTCGGGAGCGCCAGGATTGAGGTGGATATTTCACCCGGATCAGCCTCGGGCGAGACGTCAACGCTCGCGAGCGCACCTCGAACGCACACGGCTGCAGCTTGGGACAGTATAGGCATCGTGGAGATCCGTGATTCCTGTGCAAACTTGCGCCATCAAGGGGGTGATGCGCTGGCTGTGTTTGCCGAGGGCCCCGATGATGTACGAATAGACGCGCCTCTGACTGACCATGGCAATGGAACCTACGAGCCGCTGATATTCGCCATGGTATCTGGAACTTACACGATCAGTGCAGTTGTTGGATTGCCCCGTGCCAGGGCTCATTTTACTCTCACCTCCAACTCGCAAACAGAGATCGAGTCCACATTTCGTGAAGCACACGTGGTTGGATCACCTTGGAAGGTCAAAATCCTTCCAGGTGTCATATCAAGACATACCACCTCGGTAAGCGGTGAGGAGCTTGCAGCAGGCGTCGCAGCAGGCAACCCTGTTCTTCTGACACTGAATACTCGCGATGCGGCCTACAACTCCCTAGCAAACTTGTCCAGCGCGGAGGTAGCTAGGTTTTCTGCTACGCTCACATTGCAAAAAAATGCGGCGCAAGAAGCAAAAGTTAAGGCCAACATCATCCCGCTGGACGGTGGGACAGCAACACAAGGCCAGTACGCAGTCAACTTTATTCTCAGCGCAGCCGGAACTCATCGGTTGTGGGTATCGCTGGATGGAATGTTGATCGCAAGAATGCCGCAGGAAATTATCTGTCGTCCAGGTCGAGTAAGCCCGTCATGGAGCGGAGTCTCTGGTAATCTGCCGCGAACCACCGTAGCTGCAGAGCAGTCGGCCCCAGATCACCACTTCATCGTTCGAGCTCGTGACAGCTTTGGAAATGCAATTGCGACTGGCGGCGAGGCGTTTCGAGTTCAGCTGCGTGGAGCGAGATCGGTAGCACGAGTGTTCGCCCTGGAACACCAGGGCCAATGCACACATGTATCATCTTACGTCAAAGTCGTGTAGGCTAGAGGGATTGCGGACGATAGAGGAGATGGCACGTATGCCATACGCTACAGCACTGCACATCTTGAGCCGGGCATATACAACGTGCACGTTGATCTTGCCACACGCATCTTCAGCACAAGACGAGTCGTGGCGGGGGGGGGCGGGTTGACCGCCGCATATTTCGCAAATGGAGGTTTCTTTGGAGAGCCCGCCGCTGTTTATCAAGAAGTAGGGCCTATCATGTGCTGAAGTTTCCGTTTTACAGAGTTTTAAACTATGTTGACATCGTAGGCACGATTGGGGCGATGGAGAGCTTGTCGCTGGCGCTGTTGATTATGTTTCCATCCGCTGGACCGGTATACAGAAAGCTAAACAGCATTTAGCGCCCCTCGCTTTCTTTGGGTTTGAACTATTGACGTTTCATAGGCTTGCTCGCGTCCCCGCGAACTGCACTGTTTACACTTGATTTGAGAATTTCAGACTCGAATGACGCAGCACGCGTCTATGTCGAAGGGGTTCTTGTCGCCGAGGCCATAGGTGGCACTCTCGTCGGAAGTGGTCAGGTTTATCTTCTCAGGGGGGCTCTACACGCAATCACAGTCGAATATCACGAATCAATCGGGACGGCTGCCATAGCCCTGGCATGGTCAAGTCGGGAGGTGTCACACCAGCCCATTGCTTCTTACTACTTATACCCAAGCTGGATGCCCATTGACGGCAGTCCTTTTGCCCTTGAGCTTTCATCACGCAATAAAAGCGCCTAGTACATGGGAGCTCGGCAGCTCGGTAAGAAAACTCAGGCGGAGTCGCAAACTTAGCCGCAACCTTAAACATATCACGCTCATGTTGGTACTGCCGTGACACTAGGATGAGGTGGCTGCGCCATCCAAACGCGGCCCGTTGGCCTTCATTCCTGGCACTCCTGCATTCAACTGAGCTCAGCCCCCCCCTTGTAGGGGGAGTTTACCTTGTCTGCGAGCTGCGAAAGGCCGAGTGGACGGGTGGTGGAAGCGGGTGGTGGATATATATCACCGGGTGCTCGTTACCATGGCGGTGTCGTCGAGGTCTAACTTGAGGTCTACAGCAAGAGGGATGCACAACAGACCTTAACCATTGTCATGCTGATCTGAGATGAGTGCTCTGAGAATGGGGTGAGGTAGTGGTGGTGTTGGTGGGGGTGGTACCCCTGGGGCCGCTGGAGACCACTCGAATCCACCGGAAATATGCTTGTTTTGGTTCTATCGACCAGTTTTGATGTCGAGCTTGAGCAAACTGGTGGTTTTGACGCTCGATCATAAATTTCGACCGTGTGAAGTTCTTGGCCGAGCAGCCTACTCTACTACTATTCTACTACTATCATGCTAGTACTGTATCTATCCGCGGTATCTTCTTCTTTCTTTCTCTTGCACACTTTTAGTGACCGAGGAGTCTGGGGGTTGCGTTCGCAGCTCACCGCTTAGTGTTGCTAGATCCCCGCCGGTGTTGGTAGGGCAGTGTAAATATCCACCTTTCTAGTCTACAGTGAAGGAGCTTACATCCCTTTACAAGACTCCCCCTGGTGCAATTTTGAAGTTACCATCGTACCATGCTCCCGGAGGGCCTCTTATCTCGGTCATGCTATTGTGCGCCTGGAGCGCATCCCCATCGAGTGCGATATATATCTTCAAGCCCCGTATACTGAGGTCCTCCCTCCCTGGCGTCACCGCCAGTAGGTCAGTCCACGTAACTCTTGCAGCTGCGAGGTTAGGTGATACCGCGGCATTCCATAAGCTGTGAAGAGACTTAGCTCTAGAGGGCAGGTCGCATAGTGAAGAAGTGGGTGGCTGCCAGCGGCCAGCGGGCCAGCAGCCAGCATTTTACCTTGCGGTCTGCCAGGCACACTTGGTGCCGGGTGTTGTCTTGGTAGATTGCCCTGGGATCCTGCACCAGCTAGTGATACAACCCGGGTGCTGAGTCCCCATCCTCGTTTCCGCTTAAGCTCGCTGTTGACGGCGGGTTGTCGAGGACCGATCCTGCGGTCTCGACGACGATCCGTTCGTTCCTACATTTTTCCCGAAGTTTTGAGGCAGGCTTTAGACCAGCGTCGACGACAGCAATCGCATATGCGTAGGCCTCATCCTCGCTAAGCTGAATAATACCACTATGGCTGCTTGCTTGGAGTCTTGGCTCGGCCTGGAGTTTAGCGGAGGTGAGCCTTGAAGCAGAAACTACTATTGATATGTCATCAAGAGAAAGCGCAACCAGCCAGTGGTGAAGAAGATCCAAGAGGTCTGGTGCATGGAGTGCCTGGATGGCGGCAATTGCTATGTTGCGGCGTATCTCCCTAGCACCAGGCCCAGTTGCTGCTAGAAACCCAGGGGTGCACCTACAGATTGACGCAACGAACTCCGCTCTTTGTGAGAGCCTCCCCGGAATGGATCGGCGACCGAGAATAATGTCTTCGACATCCAAATCATGTAGTGCAGGTGCAGCGAGTACAATAGCTACGCCATCAATATCAAGGAAGTCTAGGGTCTGTTGTGCGGCTTTTAGGCGGTGCAAGAGTGGTTCCCTTGCAAGAATAGCAGCAACGACAGTGGATATATTTGAAGCATTTGTAGGGGCCATGATTCGCGCGCCTCCCACGAAGCAAGATATCACAGGCCCAGTCTGATGATCCAAGCTTGCATTTATGGCATGTTGCATGCACAGTTGGTCTCCTGAAAAGAGTGCGCGATAGTGGTCGTCTGATTGGGGTCTCACCACACCACGCGCTGCCCGGGCGATGTGAATACGAGAGAATCTGGACTTGAATGCAGCCCAACTTGGCTCAACGAGCCAAGATCGCACCTTTTCCGCCTGCTTGGGCTTCACTTCCACAGCAAAACAGGGACCTACCAGGGGTTCCCCTGGACCAAGAGGGAGCCACGCCTGGGTTGCATCCGGAGCAACAACTCCGATCCTGGGGGCAAAGTACAGGGGTACAGAACCAAAAACTTGGTAGGTATCTTCAAAGCCTTGTGCAACGCTCCTAGGCACCACGCTTACAATTGCACGTGGCGCGAACTTGATCCCTAGCCATTCCTATGCAAAGAGACAGTGAATCTTTGTGTACCCTTAAAAATAACGCTGCTTCTATATTGCACTCCCAATCCATTGCTCGAACATCACCTCAGACTCCAAGGTCTTACATAACTGTGGCTTCCTCGAACGGAGGCTGCCCCGCGTCAAATCTTTGCGCAGTCGCCACACCCTTCGCTCCTTATGGATATTGCAGCGGCGGAACACGGCACGAGAAGCTCCTTCGCCCACTAGGCATATGTAATGATCTTGTTTTTTTCGGGCTGTGCGTCCCTCGTGCGTCCCCATTAGAAAGTAGCTTAGACAAGTAAATAACTTAGTTTCCGAATATTCTGGCTGATATATCCTGGCGGCTATATCACCTGCACATACGAGAATCTGCTGCAGCCCAAATCTTCTACCCAAGCATGAACGCCATCCTGTGATCAAGATCTGCAGTGAGATGATTGTTGGCGTTACATCCCCCCTGAACCGTGTTCACGAAATTTTAAAAAGAATGCAAGATCATCTTCATCACGTTGAATCATTGAAGATGTGTTGTGGTGTGCTGGCAATACTTTCCAGAGAGGAAGCTAATAAGCTTCTCATCGCAAGGGATGGTATGCGCCTTCTGTGCAGTATCATGGAGCAGCATCTTGCTCGCGCTGATCTACTCGAAGCCGCCTGCGACTTGCTGTGGTCCCTGGCTTTCAACAACCCGCTGCTGAAAGAAGTCATCGGTCGCCAGGGTGGAATTCCAGCAATTGTGAAAGGTATGCGTATTCACCCAACAAGCGCTGATTTTCTCAAGTCTGCATGTGGAGCACTGTCAAATATGTGCCAGAATGCACAAAATCAGACAGTCATTGCCGCCCATGGGGGGGTCCCATGCTTGTTGCAGGTACTTCACAACCATCGAACAAATGTAGTGTTGGTCCCGTTCGTATTTGACGCATTGGCTTCACTCATTGTGGGTAATGCAGAGAATGCTAGGCAGCTTTCAGAACTCGGCGCAACCGTGACTGTGTTTGCGGGGCTGTGTACACGTGTCAGAGTTGTATACATATTTTCAAACCTGTAGGTATTGTCGATGCTTGAAGAGCATTCTGCACACGAAGAGCTAGCAAAGTCCGGCTGTCATACACTAGCCATCCTTTCCGACAATCGTGGCGAGGGTTCTAAGATTGCCGCTGGAGGTGGAGTTCGTGTCCTTCTACCTGTGCTTCAGCATCACCCAAGACATGTCGATTTGCATCGTGTTGGTGCAGTCGTGCTGTTGCGCATGTTACAAGAAGCTCCCGTTGCTTATGACATTGCGTGAAGCTGTGTCATAACGCGCGCACAAATTGCCCGGCTGCCAGAGGTTCATAATTCTAGGCTCGCGGGGGTGGCATACCTCTGATGCTTTTAGTGCTTCGTTCGCAGATTGAAGAGGTTGAAACCGTCGCCGCAGCTTGCCATATTCTCTACTCTATAACGCACGATGATGCAATCAAGGGACCCCCGGCTGTGGATGTGGAAAATCAGCTATCCCAAGCAAAGGCTGAGCAAGCTTCTCCAAATAGCGGAGATGGATCTTCGATCATACAAACGACCGGCACATCGAGTCCAACTCAAATCACCGCAGGCGCTCTAGTCTTGGTCCTTCAATGGCATGCAAGGCGCCGCGATGTGACGCGTGCTTGTGTGCGTTCGATCACCAACCTTGGTCGTTACACTTCCTTCCTCAAGGTGCTGAACACACTTGGGATCGCAGATCCCCTCCTAGCGGCTGTTGTTCTGCATCCACATGCACGGGATATCACCGAATCTGCGATCAAGATGATCAAGGGCCTGGCGTCTCAATGTGGGTATCTTGGCATCCCAGGGGACTGCTTACCGCTGCACGTTACTGTTGCTGGCATCCCCGGGCTTCTTCTTTGCTTGAAGGCGCGACCACTAGACTTTGAACTTGCCTCTGTTGTTTTTCAAACACTTGCAGCGCTCGTCGGCCGTCGTCCAAACCACAAAGAGTGCGTTGAGCTCCACAAAGAGTCGCAGAGTAACATCGAAGAATTTACTAGTACTAGCATCATGAATCTTAGAGTGAATAAGAAACAAACCACGCAAAGTGCTGGAAAAGATTCAGATATTCATATGGATGGCGAATTATCACAAGATACTGACTCGGTTGGTGGCCGATATCCTGAGGTACCTCAGAATTCCATATTCGAAATGACTTTTTTTTGGCACAGTGGGAACGTGAGGGCGTCAAGGTGTGTCTCACCTGGGCTAAAATGCAGCTCCAGGCTCCCAAACACCCCCCCTTGTCTGCAAGCGGGCAGGATTGTTTCATAACTTCAATTGGTTGTAGTGGGCATGCATTCAAGCCAGCGTGGTTGGCACTTGCGTCCATGTGTCGTTTTCTGAAAGGCTTTGCATCGTATGGGAGCGCTTGTGCCGGTGCCTTAGTTGTTCTAGAGACACCACAAACAATACTTTCGTTGGAGAAACGTCTTCTGTTGCCACCAAATTACATTTCGCCCAAACAGCCCCCCTCCTCTGAATCTGAAGCGTCCTTGTACAATGCACATAAACAGGTAGATACTGCGAATATGTCAACTTCAAGTATGGATGAAGCAAAAGTAGCCGTCCACGCACTACTTGACATTATTTCAGCCAACCATCGGGGCGTTATAGATTGTGCATCGCCGCCCTTAAAAATGACTGAAAGCGTAATCCACAACGACGATGCTAATCTTGACATTGGTCCCATATGTCTGGCTCCAGATGAACAACAACCAACGGTGGCAAATCCTACGGGAACCGACTCAAATGATTGCGTCACTGCAATGCTCCAAGTAAATGATGTAAGCATCGTGACCTCAGAGATAGCAAAATTGTGTAGATGTGGGACGTCGCACTCAATCAGGCGGAACAGGAAAAGACCCCTCCATCCACTTGCACATGCGCCCAAGACTGAGCGCCTGTGTTTTGCTGTGCCCCCCTATTTGGAGCGAATAGTCATCGGGGGAGATCCTGGGTCGAACGAAGTTGGTCCACCAAATCAGGCCCAGGCACAATCTCCCATCCGAGCGGTAGCTAGGCGATGCTCATCAGGAAAACGAAGAAATGAAAGTTTTCATTGCCCTTGCTCGCACGAGCCTTCAAACGTTCCGACGGCTGGTGACACACAATATGCTAATATGCACACCATTTATGTTGGGAAGTCAGCAGCTGGGCGAGGGATGCAATCACGTCTTGCAACTCCGGTCCCATATACAGTCCCTGAGGGTGGTATAGGCATGCCATTCAAGCATTCTCTCCTTTTTGACGCATCATTTGAATCAGCCAACTTATTGAGTGCTGTCCAACGAGGGCCCGCAGAGTATGACCTTTTTTTGCGCGCCGACTTGCATACCGATGGCTTCATGCAATGGTTCTATTTCGGAATCACGAACACATGCCCCCGAGATCATCTAGATTCACGTCATAGTGTTGAGTCGATTGGTGTTGATATCTGCAATCTATCTGTTCCACCGTGTATCACATTCAACATAGTGAATCTTACTAAACCGGAGTCGCTGTTCAACACCGGCATGCAACCTGTCATATACTCCTGCGCCGATGCCGCCGAGCACGGGATTGGATGGATACGATCGGGATCCCATGTCGAGTATCGGTCCAACCAATATGTTCGAAATGGTCTCAATAGTAGCACAGCGGATGGTGCGACATACTACACCCTGTCTTTCACCCTGGCATTTGATAGATCTGACGATGTATATCTCATCGCTCACTCATACCCATACACATATTCGGATCACAAAGCCCACCTTGCTTCGATGCTCCGTTCGTTACGAAAGCGTCGCATTGTTCAACATGCGCTTCTCTGTACAACACTAGACGGCCAGGACTGCGATCTCATAACGATAACTGGTGATGCTGATGAGCTTCCTCCAGGGATCGTGGAGTTATCTTCAAGCGTCCCCTCTTTTTTGCGGCGTAAAAAAACTGTTATCTTAAGCGCGCGTGTTCATCCTGGGGAAACACCTGCAAGCTGGATGATGCGTGGAATTCTCGATTTTCTTGTTGGGGATAGTCATGAAGCAAGGATCCTCCGAGCTTTATTTGTTTTCAAAATTGTCCCCATGCTAAATCCTGATGGAGTACTCTATGGGAACAACCGTTGTTCCCTCGCCGGTGTGGATCTTAATCGGTAGCCTAATCACGCACGGTTCTCATAACAGCACAAAAAACATAGGCAATGGAAGAAGCCGACTAAAGCACTCCATCCGACGATTTATCATCTTAAGTCTCTGATTCGTGTTGAACGCACCCAACGCGAGATTGCTCTCTTCTGTGATCTTCATGGGCACTCGCGTAAACAGAATATATTCATGTACGGCTGTGATGATCGCCGTAAACCCAAGCCCACAGTTCGAGTTTTCCCTAAGTTGCTGAGCTGGAATCATCTCGGGCAAAAGTATGTGAGCTTCGCGGATTGCAGCTTTCACGTTCGCAAGTCAAGAGAGGGCACAGGCTAGTCTCGTTGACTACGATTGTAAATTTTAGACTATGTCGGATTTGTTGTAGGGCGCGTTGTTGTTGCCCGCGAATTAAGTATAACAAATAGTTTCACTTTGGAAGCATCCTTTTGTGGCTCTGATTTTGGTGTTCTGCAAAATTATCATTTTAACATAGATCACTTTCAAGAGGCGGGCAGATCGCTATGCGAGACCCTGTTGGACTACTGTCTGCCAAACTCGACACAACGAGAGTCCTTTTTTAGGACCAAATCAAACATTTCTCACGATGACTCATTTGGCATAGGGGGTGAACTCAGTCCGGTGATCTCAGTCTCCAGTCCCCAAGTCCAAGGCGGCGGTGTGTACGGTGACACTGGTGCCTACGTGAGTGCCGCATCCCCCATACCCATGACATCTGGAAGTGAAGTTGTACAAGTACCCGCTGATGAACTTTCTGATGTAGATGACCTCGCATCGGATGAGTCAGATGTCATTGAGGCGACAAAGAAAATAAACGACTGTTCAAATTCATTTTCTCAAGTAGGAGCTAAAATTTGCTTAAATTCTGCTAGCGGGCACTCGTGGCATGGGCACGTCGGCGAGTATTTGAATCGAACAGCAACAGACGCAGAGGTCCCAGACAATTTTTTGCCCCCGCCATCGACCACCCCGATTCCCAAAAGCAACCGGAATCGGCGGAATAGAGCCTCGCTGATAGTTTCGGAGGCCCGTCCGCCGATGCGTCTACCACTGCCGTCCGCGAATCGGACGCGCCACGGTGGCCGTTCGAAATATGGGCCGCGTGCGTC